TGCTATTTTTTTTATAGAATTATGGAACAGTTTGTGTTGGAAAGAACCTTAAGATCATCCAGTTCCAAACATCTGCCATGGGCAGGGATGCCTCACACTAGACCATGTCACCCAAGGCTCTGTCCAACCTGGTCTTGAACACTGCCAGGGATGGAGCATTCACCACTTCTTTGTGCAGCCTGTGCCAGTGCCTCACCACCTCACCAGTAAATAACTTCTTTCTTAGATCTAACCTGAACTTCTGTTTAATTTTAATTCATCAACCCTTGTACTATTGTTACAGTCCCTGATGAAGAGTCCCTCTCCAGCATCCTTGTAGGCCCCCTTCAGATACTGGAAGGCTGCTATGAGCTCTCCATGCAGCCTTCTCTTCTCCAGGCTGAACAGCCCCAACTTTCTCAGCCTGTCTTCATATGGGAGGTGTTCCAGCCCCTGAACATGCTCGCAGCCTCCTCTGGACTTGCTCCAATAGCTCCATGTCCTTCTTATGTTGAGAACATAAGAGTAGAGGAGAAAAAAATAAAAACCTCTCATTTAGAATCATAGAATCAAAGAATTTGCATATTCAAGGTGAAGCAGAGGTAAGAAGTGAGCTGGGCTAGAAGCAACTCTATTGCTGTTTGCAGATCTAAATGAAGTCTGGAGACAGACTTCCTTTTTTATAAGGGCAGATTTGCTGTTCAAACTTTTATTCACAAAGTCACCCATTACCAAGCCTATCCTTTACATTCTGTAAAGTTATAAAACCCATCAATCTAGAACTGAATCTTCACTTCTTGAAGATAACTAGTCTATGGATTGAAGTTACTGTTCCTGTCAATCTCTAAGGTGCTGTACCCACAGCTCATAGTACAGCTGCTCGACAGGAACATCTGCCATGGGGAATTGCCATATACTTTCTATTAGTGGTTATCATTTCATGACAGGAGGGTTGGGGTTACGCTCCATAGTAATTGATGTTTCTAAATGCCTAACTGTATGGTGCACAGTTAAATACTTCGAATGTCTGCACTTACTGTATGTGCACAGGCCATTAAAGTTATGTACTCTGGAGGAGACGAATGAATAACTGCTGAAAGATCACATCAAAAGAAAGGAATTCTCAATCTTCCCAATGAGAGCAGATGGAGAAAAGTGCTTTGGCAGATCTCTTTCACAGGCAGCTTGGTGCTGAGCAAGAGCTCAGATCGTGAAAACACATCAAAAGTGGTAAAACACAACCCCAGTCAAGGGCAGGCATTTAATCCCAACCCATTCTTCTCTCAGCTTCCCAGTCTGAACTCATTCAGGATGCAGTGATATGGCAGCTGCAGTCTTTGTTCCCTACAGACACTGTGGTATTCAATCTATGGCACCAATAAGAGACAAAGAAGCAGTAGTATAAAAATAGAGTTGGTTCATATCTGCAATTAGTTCAAGTTTTAACTTTTGAAGCCTTGTAAGAAATGATCTAACATCATGCCCTGAAATGAGATGATCACAGCTTACGTGAGGTGTATTGCATGCTCCAAACCAGGCATAAGGTCAAATTGATCTCAACCTTTTGAAGACACGACATCAATGTCATCTATGAGCATCTCTCTATCCCACTACATTATCAGGGACAACTGCATTTCAAAGCAGAGTAGCACCTCGAAAAATGGATTCCACCTCCACGGGTCCAGCTCTGAGATTTGGAACCCCTAAACCAAAACAGGAACCAGGGGTGTTCCTGCTACGGCACTCAGTAAGAGTGGATCTGAAAGGACTCATCAACACTTCAACTATTTTAAAACCAAACAGTAAATGCCATTATGGAATGTGGTTTGGCAAACTTCAAGCACCAATATTTAGGCAGGTTTGGTTCTTATTAGAACCATTCACATGGCACTGGCCCAAACCAGCGTCTGAGTCTGGGGGCATTGTCACAGATTTGCACTGCAGCATCACTTTGTTTGCAGAGATACTTGAGGTGGAGCAAGCATGGATGGATGCAGCAGCAGCATCTTTTAGGATGACAGCACAAGGAACAGCGTTGGTTGTTTGGCCCTGAAACAAAACTGGACTCTGCTTATCTTGACAGAAATGAAGTAGGGAATGATAAAAAGCAAAATGCATAACGAAGCTTTTCATGGATTTCCTCTCGGTATTAAAGGATTTAAGACATGGTGCTTGCTATCTGTGCTCAAATTCGGAGCTCTCAGGCCTCACAAGATGCACGCTTCCCCCTTTCTCAAAGCAGAGTTTTTATTTCTGTGTTGAAACATATCCCAAATTGTAACAACAGATCAATTTCCTTGGGCTGACCACAGGAAGAGATGGACGACTGCAGTGAGACAGTTCAAACATCTTAATTGCAAACAGGATTCTATTGTATTCTCATTTATATAGGACAGCTCCCACTATATACCCCACTGTATAAAAACACCTATTAAGGATAGTGACCACCCAGAAGCAAAGAACTGAATTCCAAGAGGCTGCGGGAGGAACACAGCCTAGCTACACACGTGTTCTTATCTAGTTTAACCTGTCATCACAGAAGCCAAGAACTTCTTATTCCTTAACTTTTTATTATCAAAGGAGTAGGTAAAAACCCACCTAATGCAGAGACAGGCTATGAATGTCTCATATTACAGATTAGGAGAACAGAACATAGCCTGGCCTAATATTCCTAAGCCTTTTACCCAGCCTGTCATTATCTGACACAAAATACTGGAGAGGAAGCTTCAGTGCTTTGAAAAGGTAGGAAATGAAAATTTCAGAAGGAAATTTACATTCAGAAGGAACACACTAGTTTCTAGGCAGTGTTAGTGTGGTAAATGCTGTGTATTCTCCAAGATTCTGGCAGAGTGGCTCAGCAATTCTTAGCACACCACAAGACTGGTAATCATAGAATCATAGAATAGTTAGGGTTGGAAAGGACCTTAAGTTTATCTAGGTGTTCATCTGGAATTACCTGTGGATGCTCACCTTTGCCTCAGCAACCTTCCTCTTTCACTCAGCTCCTCTCCCTCAAGCATTTCTATCTTGCTTGCTTACATAGTAAGCCTGTCAACTGGTTAATCCAGCCCAGTGTGTCAAGAGTTCTGTTTGGTTTGAGCATGGATTCTTCCTCTTGGCCACACAAACCCAAGTTTTTACAACACACAGATCTCAAGAGCCCTGGCCCTTGATGGGGTGCCACAGAAATACAAACAAGAAATAAGACACCAGCATTACGGACCCGAAACAGAAACCCAGCCTGTGATGCTGTCCAAACATTCATGCACTTGTCCCGTGTCAGCAGAAACGGCCTTCACCTACAAACCAGCACTGTCATGACAGCATGTGGGATGCACATTCCTTTGCAGCAGTTCATCAAATGCTGCTGTAAGGGCATTTGATATCACAACCATGGCACCAGGCCTGCAGGAGACTGCAGTGGGTCAGCAGGTACATACACAGCTCCTCACTGATGCTCAAAGCAGAGCACAGCAAGGTGGTTCTAATCCTACATCCAGGCAACATTCCCATTGATGTCAAACATAAATATCTGAGAGCTCAGGTGTGTAAGCCTTCCACAGTGTTGCAAACAAGTATATTTTCAATACTTAAATGCTTGGCATGTTCTTAAAGAGAGTTGAGATGAAGCCTTGAAGGCAGATCCATCCAAACAAGAACTTGCCACTGCACCAACCTTTCAGCTGAACAATGTTCCTGCCTATGGCAAAACACTGGAGCACTGGGCCAGGGCACCCTCAGCCCCTCATCAATCACATAATCACAGAATCATAGAATCGTTTGGGTTGGAAAGGACCTTAAACATCCATTCCCAACCCCCTGCCATGGGTAGGGATGCTTCAAACTAGACCAGGTCACCAAAGGCTCTGTCCAAGCTGACCTTGAACACTGCCAGGGATGGAGCATTCACCACTTCTCTGCGCAGCCTGTGCCAGTGCCTCACCACCCTCACAGTAAAGAACTTCTTCCTTAGATCCAACCTGAACTTCCCCCGTTTAAGTTTAAACCCATTACACCTTGTCCTGTCACTACAGACCCTGATGAAGAATCCCTCTCCAGCATCCTTGTAAGCCCTTTTCAGATACTGGAAGGCTGCTATGAGATCTCCATACAGCTGAACAGCCTCAACCTTCTCAGCCTGTCTTTGTATGGGAGGTGCTCCAGCCCCTGATCATCCCCGTGGCCTCCTCTGGACTTGCTCCAACAGTTCCATGGCACACAGCAAAGCAGCAACTCCATGTGAAGGCACTGCACGTATAATACCAGAACATTTTGGGTGCTCCCTAATGGGTTATCCCTCTGTGTTCCATAGAAGACTCATGACCACCTGTTTCTCTTCCATTGTTTGCATCAACTGTCAGAGATTCTTACATGTCAGGGAATAAAATGCAGTCATCAACAGAATAGACATCTTTGTGTTTGTCTGTTCCAGCTAGGGGAGTTTATATTTATTAGTGCAGAAGTGTAAAAATATTTGGTGGTAAAATGAACCCAGCGGATGTTTTTGCTGGCAGGAACCTGGGAGTCACAACTGTGCTACTGGTTGTGAAAGAGTAACAGCTGAGCATGTGTTGGAGTTGCTTTTGCACTGACAAGGAGGCATCCAGTGCTCTGTGGTTAATTGGATTACAGGGGCTTTCCACTTCCCACTCAGATCAATTAGCATTCTAGGTTACTCACTATCACCCTGGAGGATGTAAAGGCTGAAGTTAGTAACTTCCATCACAGTTCTTTTGCAAGAGTTTAAAAGACTTCTCCCCTCAGCCCCTGCTTCTGGCTCATTTCTTTGCTGCTTTACACCTTGCTCAACTACAGCATTCTTTTTTTGGCAAAACAATCAATTCACATGACAAAATCAAACACTGAGACATTATATAGGTGTCCCTGCCCATGGGGATGGAACTAGATGATCTTCACAGTCTCTTCCAACACAAACCATTCTATGATTCTAAATTTAGTATAACTTCCCTCCCCCCACCCCCCGAGATAAAGCAAAGAAAACATCTGCAACTTTGTTTTACATGAAATCAGAAGGAACATGGCCCACGATACCAACCTTCAGTGAATCTTGAAGCAGCGTGAAGAGCAAGTCCATGCCACAAGATCCATCTACCAAGCAGCCTTCCTGAACAGATGTTATTCTGCACTGATGGGGTGTTTCTTATGCAGTTTCAAATTAATAGTCAGTAAATGCTTTGATCTTTCTTTTGGCTTTTTGTAAGAACTATGTGATGATTTTCAATAAATTGATGTCCTTGTAACTCCCTGGTCTCTACATCACAGTTTGGTACATCTGCCAGCATTTGAGAGGGCACAGATGTAAAGGGGGAGGTCACAGACAGATACTCCTAGAGAGTCAAGACAGTTTCCAGAGGGCACATCAGAGGTCCAGGGAAAGAACACAGCACTTACCATCACATATCCTTATGAACAGAACTTGGCCTGTGGCATCTGCAGACCTCTAATGTCCAGGCAGGGTGGGTTTGGCATTTCTCAGAGCACAAAGAAAGCTTCTTTGCCTCCCAGAACCCCTCGTGTGGAAGCCAGGAGGGAAATGAGCACTTTGCTCAGAGGGTTGATAAAACAGATACTGGTGCTTCAGCACAATGAAACATGACTGAAGTAAATAAGGAGTTACTACATTTTCACTTTTAAATACAAAGTCACTTCTCCCCTCCCACCCAAAGATCAAGGAAACAGAAGGATAAAGTGAGAATGAAGACACAGTACGGGGTAATCTAAGGAAACAAAGCGCTTACTACCAAAATATTCATCAAGAAGGCAAATCATATTCTGTACCTTTTACAGCACAAAGCTGTAAAACATACAGTTACCAAGGCACCGACTATGAAAACTACAACAAAACTAGGCTATTCATTGCAGTGAATAAAAGATTTTTTTTTTTTCTGGTATAAATTATACACATGGAACACATGCAATAGCTGTATTAAAAGCTGTAATTATGAATAGTCCTTTCTATATATATGAACACCTGTTACACATTCCCCATTTGCTTGAGATATCTTTCTGTAATAGAAACCTGGACTCCAGGTTTCAAGGTAATTGCATGTAGCAATGTATTTGACCCGCCAGCAATTTTCCTTATACAGTATTTTTATTCCCTCAAGACACTGATTTATAACCTTCGGCTTGTAAATTTTCATCTCAAAATCCTGATTGCTTTTCTTCCACAAATAAGAAACCTTGTTACATGGATGTGTAGATTTACCTCTGAACACATGTGAGGAGAGGCCATAACAAGAGCTGAATGCTTAAGCTATTTTGGATGCTGGAGAGGGACTCTTCATCAGGGATTGTAGCAATAGGGCAAGGGGTGATAGGTTTAAATTTAAACAGGGGAAGTTCAGGTTAGATATAAGGAAGAAGTCCTTTCCTTTGAGGGTGATGAGGCACTGGAACAGGTTGCCCAAAGAAGCTGTGGCTGTCTGCATGGATTCAGCAGCAGCAGTCATTTTTCTCCTTCTTAGCAGATGGTGCACTGCTGCGTTTTTGACTTTCAGCCTGGGGACAGAAGAGATAACACCGATGTTTTTAGTTGTTGCTAAGTAATGTTTACTCTGACCAAAGACTTTTCTGAGTCCCATGCTCTGCCAGGGAGGAGGGGAAGCCGGAGGAAGCAGAGACAGGACACCTGACCCAAACTAGCCAAAGAGGTATTCCACACCACAACGCGTCATGCCCAGGACGTAGAACTGGGGCAGTTATCTGGAAGAGCGAGATCACTGCGCAGTCGGGCTGTGTATTGCTGGGTGGTGAGCAGTTGTATTCTCTTCCCTTGTTATTTCCCTTAGCAATATTATTACTGGTGGTAGCAGTAGTGGTTTGTTTTATACCTTAGTTACTGGGCTGTTCTTATCTCAACCCATGGGAGTTACATTCTTTCGATTCTCCTCCCCACCCCTCTGGGAGTGGGGGAGGAAAGGGGTGAGGAGCAAGTGAGCAGCTGTGTGGTTCTGAATTACCGGCTGGGCTTAAACCACAACACTGTCCAATCCCTGGCAGTGTTCAAGGTCAGGTTGGACAGAGCGTTGGGCAATATGGTCTAGTGTGAGGTGTCCCTGCCCATGGCAGGGGGTTGGAACTGGATGATCTTAAGGTTCTTTCCAACCCAAAACATTCTGCGAAATGTTGCACTGCTCAAAACAAGCAATAATCCTGTTTAGGAAGGACCTGATAATTTGCAAGGATGTCCACGGCTTCAGCTCAGTAAAAATATCACCACTTCACTGAGCAGCTCTAATCTCTTATACAATATATTCCTTTGTTATATCATGAAAAGCCATCTAATATGTGATCAGACAGCCATCGAACAGACACTGCAGGGCATTAACTACCCTTGTAGCTTATCAATTGTTAAGAAATGTCTGAGGTTACGGTAGCACAAGGTCTGGCACTTCTCTTCCATGGCCTCACTGAGTCCTGCTCAGCTGCATTCAGTAAAAAACATCCACTCTCTGGTGTAATTTTTAAGAATTTAATTAAATATCCATGAAAGCTTAAGGAAGTCAAGTTTTGTGCTGAGTCCTGCATGAGATTCCTCGGCTGGCAGCGAAATCAGCTTCCCTCCTGACATCTCCCAGGCCCCTTTCCACTATGGAGCAGGGTTCCTCACTTTGAGAAGCATTGCCATTCACAGGTTTTTATGAGCATAAAAGTGCCAGTTATAGCGATTTCTCTACAAAGAGAAGTCTTGGAAATCTCCATCCAAAAAGCCCCACAAATGTTCTGGAAAAAAAACCTAGACAAACTCTCCCAGAAACACACTTTGATGATTTTGAAGTGCAATATTTAATACAAACATTCAAACCAAACCATAAACTTTATGGGACACAAAGTCCTTCTGAGTTATTACAGCAGGCATATCAGTTGCTACAATCCAACACAAGAGACAATAGCTACTTTTCTCTAAGCACTTTCTTGTTTGCTGTTGCAGAATTTAATGTAGTACTGATAATATGAAACCTACTCAGACCATAAAAACTTGATAAAAAAGTGTCTGCTTTGCCACCTTTCCAGCAGGAAGGCTGTGTCCTATTCCCACCTGGCAAGCCTGTGTCACAAGGACAGTCTGCAGCCAGATCCCACCATGCATACATGGTGGGCAGCAAGGACCACTCCTCTGAGTGGATGGAGACTGGAAGCCGGAAGAAGCTCTTTTCCTACTTTCCTCACAGTGATGGTGTTTAAAGTTTGGGCTTCATGATTTTAAATGTCTTTGCCAACCTAGTTGATTCTATGATTCCATGGTATCTCACTGGCTGCTGCAGTCAGCTTGGGCATCAATGCTAGCTGCAAGACGAGCAGCCCAGTGCCAGGCTCTAGCTAGTGGAGACCCAGCTAGTACCGACAGCAAGCCCCAGAGTACCGACAGCAAGCACCAGCCCCTGCTGCAACATATGGGACTTCACAATATGGAATAACAATATGGAATAACAATAATAATAATGATCTGTTTTCCCTCCTGATCAACTATGGAGATTTTAGAAGTTTCAGAGTCTTTTCACATGTGGTCCTGATTATTCCCTTAAGACAGACTGACAGATGTTATCTCACCTTTCTATTATCTGAATGAATCATAATGTTCCTTTCATATATTTGCAAGACACAGGTACGAACTGGTGATGTTTCACAGGAAGCACATGGATGCTCAAAGGCACAGAGGACTCTACACAGGCAGTGCTGAAGGTCCACAGAAACAAAGAATTTGCCTTTCAAGTACCACCACTTGCCATCTTCCCTGGCAGTGTTCAATGCTAGGCTGGACAGAGCTGTGGGAAATATGGTCCAGTGTGAGGCATCCTTCCCATGGCAGGGGATTGGAACTAGATGATCTTGAGGTCCTTTCCAACCTAAAACATTGTGTGATTCTACGAAAAAAACCCCGAACAGATTAGTCAGGAAAAACCTTAAGCCTAAAGACCTTTAAGTTGAGGAATGGTGCACAGTTCCTGAGCTAGGATCACTGAAGTCTGAAAGCCATATTTTATACGCCACCGCCTTTTAAGTTTTATACACATCTTGATACCCTGAGACACAGTCAAGTGCAGGCCAACATTCAGCTTATGTTGACTTTTTTCTTGTTGTCATTTGTGAGAATTTCTAGTGGTCATGTTCCTTTCTTCAGCTGCCTTAACTGCATTTCCCCCTGTAACACAGGTTTTCACAACCAGGGCTATTAAATATTACTTAAAGTACTGTACAGTAAACAGAGTTGAATTATTAAGCCAGGGCTACAACAAACATGGATTTTCATGAGGAAAGTAACAGGTATTTTTCCACATATATAAAAAAAGGGTGCATCTCTTTAAAGAGCAGGTAATTGTGAGGAAAGGCTGACAGATTGTAAAGGCAAAATTAGACCAATCTAAGATAAAAATAGAAGGAAATTATGAAGCTGGAAAACTTCTGCAAGCTGCAATAAAGTGTGTACAGTTAATTTCATACAGGGAATGCATTTTTCTTGCTGAGTGGGATGAATCATATTGTTATTGCTGATAAATGCTGTAAAACACATTACCTATAACATGGCTTTATATGGAAGTGGAGTTTTCCAGAAGCTGAGTACCTGCCACTGGTCACCAGTACAAGCTTCCCTTTCTAATATTCATCCAACCATGATACTGAACTGGAATGTAGCTTGACTCAATGCACATTGAGGCTTTTCTTTCTCTCGCACTTGTCTGTCTGGTTTTGACGAGACAATAGAAAATAAAATCTATGAATCCCAACTAAGCTAACTAAGCAGATGGTAAATTTTGAGAGCAAACCATCTCAAAGACATCTGCAGTTCTGTCTGTCCTTCCTATCCAAGCTTCAAGTAAGTCCAACAGGCAGTCCCTTCAGGTTTGGACCAACATGCAAACTTGCATTTAGGCTATGTGAACAACCCTGCGGGCTGCACTCCCAACTAGAAACAGAGAAGGGCTCATGTCCCACAGCATGGACAGAGAGAGACAGAAAACAATCATCCAGTGTGGAAAGGGAACAAAATCATCAGGGAACATGTCCATGAAGTGAAGACATTTTGACTGAATGGTACGCAGTCTAGTTTCAAGG